GTTCTCCTCCACGTTTGGGTGTGTGGAAGGTCACACCTTTCCTCTCGCTTGAACTTAGGCATAGCTATATGACTTGCTTTGGCCAGTGACATGAGAGTGGAAGCTCTCCTCCCCTGCCACAGAGGTCATGGAGGTACAGATCCACATAGAGCTGCCATGAGACCAGAAGCATCTGGAATGCTGAACCATTGCACAGAGGATAACCCAATCCAGGAACGTAGCTCCATCAGAAACAGACTTGCCTTGAGTAAAAAATAAACTTTGTTGTGTTCACCCACTGAGATTCGGTGTTGCGGGTACCTAAGCTAGCCCTTCCCTACTGGTGCAGTGCTATGGCATGGCGCCATCTTGGAAGAAGAAGAGAGATTGCTGGCTACTCTTCCTCATGGTGTGGCCTTTCTAGGATTGTTTGTTCTGCTCTGGGAGAAACTGCTTTTCCACAGTTGATGGGGTGAAAAGGGTCTGATGTTCCTTCCTGCTTCAGAAGTGTCTTCTTCCATGTCCCTTTGCCGCACCTTCAAAGGCCAAGCAGAACCAAGGTGAGGCCCCACTTCCTCCTTCTGAATCAGAACCTCTAGGGCTTAAGTCCGGGAATCGGTGTTAACCAGCCCTGCAGGTGACTCAGGTGCATATTAGTGTTTGAGATCCACCGGTCTAGATGCTCCTTCACTTCCCATTCTGTGTCTTATGTGCTGGTTTATGAGTCCTTGAAAGCCTGGAAGAACTGGGGCTCTGGCTGTCCGACAATATGCTGGGAATCTAGGAAAAGACATTCAAAGAAAAGACAAAACATGTGCTGCTCTGCGCTGGTGTAAGGGGAGGGACCTTTATAACCCTCACTGACTTCAGGTGAAAGAAAAGATGTTTTTCAGGCTGAACAGGGCCTGAAGGCCTATTTCCCACTACTCAGAAGTTCTTCTACGGTTGTTTTCTCTCTTTCACCATCACATGCTCCAGCTCAGATGTAATGGTTGGGATTTGTGGTTGGCTGTCGTGCTGAGATTTTCCAGCTTAATTCTTCCATACTCATTGACATGTAATTGTATTTGTATTTTAAAAGGGGAGAGTGTTGCTTATCTCGATGGGAAGAAATGCTAATGGTGTAAGCATCGAGGAGACTATTATATTGTGTGAGGCTCTCATGCGTCCTGGGTGATGACCTTTTCGGTCTGTGCATGGCCAGCTTTGGCAGTTTTGCTAAACCTCATTCATGACGCTGCAATCCTGTGCATGTGTCACTCCACTCGGATACCTAAGCTGCACGTTATGCCTCCCCTAGACGCAGAAGCTGCTGCTCCGCAGTGCTGTCATATATTTATCCACAGAGGGCAAAGAAAACCGTGCTGAGTTGAACTGGCCACGTCAGGCATCGCCCCAGCCAAAGCAAGAGTCAAAACTTGTCGCTCAGAATCTTCTGATCTGGCCCAGTGTGCAGACCAAGACTCCTTTCAGGCGAAAATCTAGGTCGAGAAGCTGACTTCTGGGTTCCCAATGGGAGGGTTAGCAGGGGTGCCTTATGCAAAGGTGGAGAAGAGGGGCAAGTTTTGTGAAACAGAGCCTGGTGGTACCCAGAGCAACTGAGCCTTTCGCCTTATGGTGGAAAGTGGGAAGACAGAACGCTGAGAACTGAGCTACAGACCTTAGAGTGTCACAGTTTGCTCCTGTTAGAAAGGAAGAACTCCAAATAAGTCGTGGTGACAGTGTGCTGACATTTGGGTGCTGCCTTCTGCTCTCTGAGTGGTCCTCCCACTTGGGCATATCGCATGTCAAGGGCACTATACTGACAATCTTGAGGACCCTCCAGAGTAAGGCAACCAAGCACTGCGGAGCCAGGAGAAGAAAGTGCTGCATTTCATTTTCAGGTTTTTATTTTTCACTTGTTATAAAAATAAGTGACAACAGAGAAAAATGAAAAAATAAAAAGAAAGTAAAAACTGCCCCTCATGGAAAAAAGAAGAGGTAACTTTTATTAACATGTGATATATATACTATCCAAGTTATATATACTGAAATTGGGATCATACTGAATAGACGCTATTGTGTTTCATTTTTTCTCTAAACAGTACTGAATAAGCTCTTTGCCCATATCATTACACAATCTCCAAAATTATTTAAATCTCTACATGATATTTCACTTGTTTGCTTTTTTTAGATTCATTTATTCATTTGTCAGCCGAACCTTCCCTGAGGTCTGGCCGGGCCCTGGGAATACAGTGGTAGGAGAGCTGTCGGTCAACAGACCGGGGCTCTTGCCAGAGGTCGGGGTGGGGACTGCACTGGCTCTCAGGAGCCGCCACCTCCCGCCCGAGGTGCTGTGGGCAGGCTGCCTCACCAGCCCTGGCTTTGAGCCGACCTGCTTAGACTTCGCCGTTTCTGGGATTCAGCTTGCTGCGGATCGATTGGAAAACGCTGCTTTGGCTGCCAGCGGGTGCGGCCCGATGTCTGCGTGGCTTCGATCAATGGCAGGTGAGTGTGATAACCCGGCCGCCTCTCTCCTGAGGGAACTCGCTGATTCACGGCACGCAGCCCGGGTTTCCCTCCAGCTCAGTACTGCTCGCTGGGCCTGGCCATTTATCTTTGACAAAATCTTCACCAGAAGCTTTCCCCAAAACTCCAGGGCAGCCCATGAATCCCTCACATGTGACTGGGGCAGGTTCAAAGGGGCAAATGAAGGAGTCCTAGGTTAGAAAATGCCAGCCTTTATAGCATGAAAACAGGACACACCATGGGGTGTATTTGGTGCCACAACAAAGGACTTATTGAGCTCCGCTGCATGAAAGCAGCAAGATGTGGATTCCCAGTAAATTTCACCGTGGGTGCTCTGTATTCCCTTTGGGCCTGGGCTCGGGCTCTGCTCTTTGGTTGGCACAATTGCCGAGTCCCCTGTACTTTCAAGTGAGTTATTGCAATAGCTAATATCTTGTTGGATTCTGGGGAATTCAGAATGCATTTTTATTTTTGGTACGTGAGCATCATGTGATAAACAGTGCGTAGGTTTTCATGGCAGCCCCTCAAGACCACTTTGATGGCTGATAGAGCCAAAGGTGGTGTCAGTACACAAGTGTGATGTTTCCATCCTGGGAACAGGGACTAAGGCTGGAGGGTGTCTCTGCTCTCCATTCTAGTACAAGGCCAGCCTGTGACGGAACTTTTAATAACTTAAATCTGCCTTTGACTCTTTTCTGCCTTCCTGACTGCACGCTTCTCCCACCGCTGAGGACGCACACTGTCAGAAACGCTCTCTAGAAAACCTCAACCCCAGCTGCCTGCTCCACCACAACGCCCCCGTTTCCTCAGGGCATCAGCCTCATCTAGGACTCAGAAGTGCTGAAGCGTAAGTTGCTGATGTCTCTTCATGCTGCCACAGGATGTTTTTTGAGGCTGGTATGTGGAGGATTTCCAGGTGGGCCAGCAGAGCAATGCAACGCAGTTCAGGTGGGAATTGTGGGAGCAGAGAGCTTCGGCTGCAGAAGGCTTTGTGGAGACTGCCATCCGGGGGAAGCTGCCCTCACTCCTCCCTCTTTGCATCTCCTTCCCTTTTTGCACTTTTAAACCAACAGCCTCCTGACCTTGAGTTAGAATTGGGGTCTAAAGGGTGTGGGTGTTGGGGTAGAGCCAAGATCACGTGACACTTCCGCTTAGAGCTCGATAGTCACACGGCCCCATCTATCTGCAGAGGAGGCTAGGAAATGCAGTTCTTGGCTGGGCGGCCAGGTGCACAGCATTTCCCCTTACTCACACAAGAGCCTATTAGCCTGCTCAGGCTGCCATAACAAAGTACCCCCACAGCCTGGGGGGCTTAAACCACAGAAATGTATTTTCTCACAGTTCTGGAGGCTAGAAGTCCAAGATCAAGGTGTCAGCAGAGGTGCTTTTTCCCTGAGATCTGTCTCCTTGGCTTGGAGATGTCCACGCGCCTTCACACGATCTTTCCTCTGTGTCCCAAGGGCCTCTTCTCCTGAGATGCCAGTCACATTGGATTAGGGCCGCTCATATGACCTCATTTAACCCGAATTGCCACTTTAAAGACCCTGTCTCCAAATAGTCATATTCTTAGGTCCTAGGGATTAGGACTTCAACATATGAATTTTGGGGAGACACAGTTCAGCCCACAACAGGGAGGAACTAAGAGTTTCTGCCACAAGCTGCTATATCTCTGCCCCCATATTAGCCAAATCTGCTTATTCTTGTTGCCAGTTAGACTGAAGGCTCCCTGACAGCAGTGATGAAGGCGCTGATCTTAGTTTTCCTCTATAGCTCTTGGTGCTGTGCTCCACACTTCCGTGAATGTTCCATAAATGCAGTTGACTGAGTACCAGCAGCAATGGTAATAATAGAAAATACTGTGGGGATACAAAGTGGGGCAGTTGTAGATAAATATAATTACATATCTTGGATAAAGCAAAAGTAGATTGGAAAAGATTGAAAGAAAGGAGCAGAAAATGTGTATCCTTTCATTCATTCAATCATTCATTCATTCACTCATGTACTTTGTCAAACAACTGTTCATTGGGTACCTATCATGGACTATCTTTGTTACGCGTATTGGGGATACCATGTGAGCAAGACTTTGCCTCACAGACTTACATTCTAAAGCGAGAACCAGTGGCAAGTAAATTAATTAACAAGATAATATCAGGTTGTCATAATGGCTATTAAGGATAAAAGCAAAATGACTGGTAATTAATTTGGGAAGGGCATTCAGGCATTCAGGAAGGGTTCGCTGTGGAGACAGCACTGATTTAGTTGTGAGTCCTTCTAGTTGTGGCATGTGGGACGCTGCCTCAGCATGGCCTGATGAGCAGTGCCATGTGCGCGCCCAGGATCTGAACCCGTGAAACCCGGGGCCGCCAAAGCGGAGCACAAGAACTTAACCACTTCGGCCACGAGGCTGCCCCCAGAAAATTTTTGAATACAATAAAATGCCTGTAGTGCTAGAATGGGCCTGAGCACAGTTAACATCTGCTGTGTGCAAAGGCCTAGTGAGATGGGGCCTCAGAATCATGATCATCACAAACACCAACACTTGTTGTCCAGCTAGAGATTTAGTTGAATGTGCAAAGATTTTGAGACAGATCTTAGAAGCTACTTTCAAAAAATATACACACTGCTATAATTGTAAAATGTTTATTTTATATATTCATATATACTTATAAAGCTATTTCCTGACATGATTTGCTTGACTCTGTCAGTTAAACCCTTTCTTGTAAACGTGCTGGAAAGAGTTCTTGTAAACTGAGCACTCTAAGCATTGGATGCTGGCGATTGAGAACTCACTGCATCGTAATTAGGGAACGGGCCACCTCGACTGGCTGCATAGAGTTATAGGAACACCACGTAATGCTGCAACAATTATGCCCCGGCAATTAGCAACCAATAAAGCAGCAGACCTCATTGATATAGCTGTCCTACTTAGTAAAAATACTGGAAAACAAATATCCTACAAAACAAATAACACAGGACTAGCTCTGGCAGAAGAGTGAAAGTGAGCTTGGCTACAGCAAGGAATCAGAGAGAAGGCAGGCTTTGGCTGAGAAGGAGCAATTCCTCAGTACCGGATGGCCGTCTTAACAACCAGCATAGCTAACCAATAGCACCCGGGTTCGGGTCCTTAGTACATGTGAAGTGCCATTCTGAGTGTTTAATAGACATGGTGGCATTTCATCCTCACAGCAACCCACCGAGGGAGCTACCTTGTTAGCTCCATTCTACAGATGAGGAAGCTGAGGCCCGGAGAGATTACACCATCGTAAGTGGCAGAGCCTCAATTTAAACCAGAACTTAAATTAAACCCAGAGTTTGCATGCTGGCAACTAGGTTACCCAGCTTTCCTGGCTGAGCCATTGCCAGCTGGAGTCTTGATACTGCTTCTTAAGGATTTTTCCCCCCAAATTGATTGCTGTTCAGACTGTAGGTAATAGAGCCCTATTGTACAATTAGTCCTCTTTGACAGACATAACCTATTTAAAGCATCTTTGAAAGTGTTTGCTCAGCACTTGCATTTTGCTATTTAATTTTTGGCAACCCGTGCTGGTGATCTAGCTTCAGGGTACAGGGATGGAAACTGAGGCATGCTGAGATCACTGGACTCGGCTGGGATTTCTGTGAATTGCGAACATTCCATTCTCCCTGGGCCCTTTAAATGGACTCACTGCGCGCTCATCACTGGCTGGTTTCCACCTGTTCCCCGACTCCTGCATTCACCCAGGCCCCTCCCCCTTCACCCCATTTTGTCATGCTTATCCTCTTCTACTCCTGGTCCCTCAATACCCTGTCCTCACCGCAGTTTGGTTGTGTGCTTCCCCTAAAGTCCTCCAGCTTGGAGAAACTGCTTTGTCCTCCTTGTTCTGGCCAGATCTCAGAATTCCCTTGTAGTCACACCCCACGTCCACGCAGGACGCAGAGCAACGTGCTGCTTAAAAGATTGGATTTGAATCCACCTGTGTGACCATGGGTGAAGTATTTAACCACTGGGAGCCTCAGATTCCCCACCTGTACCATGTCAATATCAGTGGCAGCGTCTCCCCTTTGCTGGTGGAGAGCCTGTGATGGGGTCCTGTTCAGGACTGGACTTCTCTAACAGGTGCCCCTGTATATTTGTGAAGTAATTAGACTATGTCTGGCACATTGGGGATGCTCAGTATGTAATAGCTATTACTATTAGGAGAACTCTCTGTCCACCCTGCCCTCGCTGACGATGTGGGGCCATTCTCCACCTAGGGACTGAATGGGAAGAGAGTTAGCTATGTGAGAACAGACATCATACCTGTGTTACTTTTGTGTTCCCAGCATCTAGCATAGCTCTTGGAAAATTACCATAATAACTAGAAGAAAAAACAGTGTACATTTATTGAGCACATGCTAATGGCTAGGTACTGAGTTAAACAAGTCATCTGTGATATTTAATCCTCATGAGGATTTTCCAGGGAAGTCCTTTTATTTTCTCTGTCGTATAGAATGAGAAAGCTGAGCTTCAGAGAGGTGACATAATTTGCCTTGAATCACACAGTCAGTGTGATTCAAACCAGAATTCAAAGTAAGAACGGTCTGACTGTAAACTGTGGGCTTTAATCGCAGAATGGGCTGCTTCAGTCAATAGTGAAGGAGGGAGGCAAGAAGGGAGAGAAGGAGCGGGGAAGAGAGTGAGAGAGGAAGGAAGGAATGCCCCACGGAATCGCAGCGTAGCGGAAGGACCGGTTCTTAAACTAAGCTGCACACTGGAATCATTTGGCCAACTAAAAGAAAAACACTGATGCCTGGGTCTCACCTCCAGAGACTCTAGTTAATTGGTCTGGTGTGCAGCCTGGTCATCAGGATTGTGAAGGCTCCCAGGGGACTCTAGAGTGCAGCCGAGGTTGAGACTGACTGCCTTAGCTGGAGCACATTCTCCCTGTCCTCCGAGGTGGCCCGAGAGCACTTTTCATTAGCACATGTGAGCAGCACCTGAGGTCTCCCAGTGTTGGCTGCAGGTGCGCTGGGCTCTGAAGGGGTAGGGGTACATGCAGCGACAGACGGCGTGGTAGATGCAGAATCCGGAGGGGCATGGAGTTCAGGCAGCGGGGTTTATTACAGTCTAAATGACAAAACCTTCTGTGCAGAGTTGCATGCCGACAGTGCTCAGACTGCAGGAGGGAAGCGACGCAGTCCCTTCTGCTGAGTGTCCCCCTCACTACGGTGACAGGGCGCCTTGTGTCTGGGATTTCCTTGAGGATGACTTTTCCAGATTGCCCCAGGCTGGTGCTCTGATCTGCCTCAAGGCCTGGCTCACTGGGGCTGAGCAGCTTTTGTGGGCTGGGCCTGGGGGGGTCCCAGCCAGGTTGGGCAAACCCTGAGCCTTGGCACTAGGAGGGGAAGACAGACGTCTGCCTGCTGGGCAGGGTGTCCGCACCACCGTGGGAGTTGGTGAAGTTCTTTGGGCCGCATCGCCGAAGGACACAGCGTTTCCTTTGACTCAGAAAGGAAAGGGGCCTTTTTTATAGTAGCTGTTGAGTGTTCCTCAGCTTCACTGCCAAGCCTAGAACTGGAAGCTGGTCTGCACGATTCCCCAACTTTGCACTCCAAGGAGAACTGTGCAGGCTGCAAGATTCATCAGCACATGGGAGATCTGCCCTCTGCAAAAAGAAACCAGAAATAATCAAACAAAAATAGCCTTTCGCCATGCTTGGCCCAGCCACCAACTCAAAATGTTCTAGAAGCTCATAATAAAAGTGGCTGTTTATGTTGCTTGTGTCCCAGATCTTGTAGTTAGTACTTTTCATTATTAGACCATCTAATCCTCACTTGCACTCCAACTGGTAGATGATATTATCCTCATTTTGTAGAAAAATATCTTGCGGTTCAGAGAGGTTAAAATAAATTGCCCAAAGTCAGAGAGCTTATGAGCAGCTAAAGGAGGATCTGGGCTAAGTTCCTCCCAAACTTATGTGCTTGCTGACCTCACTACACTGCCTCTGTCAGAGAATAGACTCTGTTTTGTCGATCTCTGATTTTTTTGGCCCCTTGCACACAGTCCGATGCCTAGAAGACCCACAATAATATTTACTGAGTAGATGGATAGATGAATGAATGAAAAAATGAAGAAATGAAGCCATTACATCATTCTAATCTCAGTTCTTCACTTGCCAAATGGAGGTTGTAAGGACAAGAGAAAACACGCATATGACAAAGCTTTCATAGGTAAGCCCTGCTAATACTAATCAAAATAGAAAATTATGTCGAAAGGATAAAATTTCCCTTTGCACTTAGGCAAAATGTGTCTATTCATTTGTTTTACTAATCAACCACAAAAAATAACAGTTGCAAGACCTCAGATATGGAGGATCTAGAAAGTTTTCCAGATGATAGAGGGATGAAGTGGGAGGAGATTCCATTTTGGAACATTCTTTTTGCTCATGGAATTCGGTGCTTGTGGGGGTTGGAGAATTTGGAGCTGGGAAGGAATTCCGAGACTAGGTCTGAAATGCCTTGTGCTAGAGATTAGGAAACTCAGAGAGAGGAGTTCAGCCGCTTAACCAAAGTCACAAAGAAAGTGAGTGGCAGAGCTGCAAGGAGGATGGGAGCTGCTGGTTTGCAGCCACACTATACCTCTTTCTCCTTCCTGGAGTGGTGCTGAGCCCGGCCTCTCCGAGCCAAAGGGTGGCCTGTGAGTTGCACGCCCGCAGCCAGGCCTGGCAGACCAACAACTGCGTGATTGATGGTTCTCTGCTTTTGTCATTTATTTGCCTTGTTTTTTTCCTTCCCCCAACAGAGCTGATAAGGAGGGTTTTGCTGGAGAATCATGTCTCTCTTCTTTTTTTTTTTTCCTTTGACCAGTGAGATGCAGTTCTCATTCCTCCAGCCACTTTTCAAGGGTAAGCAGTTTTGCATTATTTAGCATCTAAGTTGGACGTTGGAAGGGACTCCCCAGAGGCCTCTTAATGTGGGGGTGCTGTTCTCTGTCCCCTTTTTGCCATCTGATCTGATTGGTTTTTTTGCTCATGGCACTGACCAAAATGTGGAAGTTGACAGTCCGTTTCCACCCCGCTTTTCAGGCAGTGGAGGTGGTGGGACAAGAGTATGTGGTGGGACAGACAGACTGCGAATCCAGCTTCTGCATCTACCACACTGGGCAGAGTCCAGCAAATCACTTCCCTGAGCTTTGTTTCTGCACCTGTGAATCTGAGCTCTGGGCAGGGACCAGGGGGAGGCCCGAGAGGCAGCTGGGTGACATTTACAGAGGCACTTACGCATGACCCTGAGAGCCAGTGCCCTGAACTTGACTCCTGAGATGACTCCTTTGCCTCTCCGTAGGCTAGGCCCTGGTGGCGCTGGTTACATAGGAACCAGCCTTTACTGTAACCTGGTCACTGTCTGAAGAGCTCTCCATGGCTTCAGCCCTAGAAGGGAGGGGTTATTGTTACCCCCCTTTGACAGGTAAGGAAACTGAGCTAGAAGTGGTTACCCACCTGTGATCAGAGTTTCTAAGTGGTGGAGCCAAGATTTCTACTCAGCCGTCTGACACGTAGTAGATGCTTAAATAAATGCTCGGTGGTTGTTCAAGTTGTGGTTGTTATTCAGGTATGAATTCAGCAGCCACACTCCTCCCCTGCAGCAGCCAGAATTTTGCTCAGGACCTCAAGTGGCGTCTGACCACCTCGACCGGTCTTGGAGATGACAGATCCGTTTACAGCGCTGCCGAATGGAGTCATATTAAGTTATCCATCTCTGCCAAAAGCTATTCATTGTGAGCTCTGCCCCATAATGGAGCACGATGGATTGCTTCTTTTGGCCAGAGAATAACTTAACCTGTGACTTGGGATGGAGGTATGTTTTCCATGAAAAGGTGGTTAACAGGCTCTTCCCTCGTCAGAAAGACCGGCCAAGGCTGTGTGAAGTGCCAAAAGCTGTGTTACATCCTCAAAGTCTGTGCAATTGAATTCCTCTCAGTATATGATGTATTTAGTTCCCCGTCTGGGTTTTCAGGAATTAGAGCTGTTATTGTACAGTCTAATTTCAAGTCCGGAGCTTTATTATTCAAAAGAAACGTCCATTTTTTTTTTCCTCTCCACTTGTTCTATCCCCTCCTTCCTGTTCTGTGTGCATTCTGCAGGGGGTTTAATTGAGTTTTCCCCACAAGGATTCCATTGCAACTCCAGAGCTTGAATATCTGGATAGTCAATGAAGCTTGAAAAAAGAGAGCTTTTGTCACAACCGTGACTGTATTCAAACGGAATCCCTTCATTTCCATGGAGAAGTACAATATGTCCCGGTGAGGCGGTTTTATATTAACTTGGGGCCGGGAGGTGGAGTCAGATGTGCGCATGCGCCGTCCCGGGGCTGTCCGCGCGGGGCGCTCTGGGGCTGTGGCGCTGCTGGTAGGTGCTGGGCCTGGGCAGAGGGTCTGGGTCCCGGAGCACCTCTGCATTGATCTTTTCCTCTCCCCCCTCCCTCTGTGTCTTTTCTCCAGCCCAGGGGTGAAGTCACCCCGTATCAGATGGACGTTAGCCTGAAGAAACCCAGCCTGCGGCGCCTTTGCCCACTAACCCTTTCTGTACTGCTTTTCTAGGTGGGTGTGTCGGGGGAGCGGGAGAACCTGGGACCTGGAGCTGAAATCCGTGCCCCGCTCCTCTCTCCCCTTACTCCTTTGGGACGGTTCTACATACTGAGCTGAGCCTTCTGTACTTTTTTGCCATCTTTGGCGTGGGAATGCTAAGATCTGAAAGTGATTGGTAACCTATGACGCACATACAAAATAAATAAATATCAAATTAAATTAAAATATATTCTAAACTTTGTACAGGAGTGTTGGTATAGCGCATGACGGTGCTTCAGGGCTGACGGGGTGCGAGTCCAGCGCTTTCTCCTCTTAGCCCAGTGATCTCAGGCCAGCATCTTGGCTCCTGGGATTCTCAGTTTTCTCATCTCTGAGATAAGAATAACCACCATATTTATCTCAAAGATAGTTGTGGATGTTTAATGAGGTATTACACTCAAAGCCTGTTACATAGGCTGGCCACTGACCCTCAATACTTGTTGGCGGTGCTGATGAGGGGAGAGATGGATCTTATTGTTTATTGTTGTTATTACCATCCTCTCTCTCGGAGCTGAGCTCCTCTCTTACTCTGGAATATTCCATTTGCAGGCTGCCATTTTCAGAGTGGAAGTGACTCCTGCCACTTCTCCTGCCTTTCAGCAGCACCATAAGCTGGGTCCTCGAACTGTGGACAAATGCACATGTGGTCTCTAGTGAACGCTGTGCAGGGAGGAGGGGTGGAAAATTCCAGGTCTGGCTGCTGCTTGGGTGGCTGACCCTATTAACCATTAACAGTTTATCTTGAATCTGATTCTGATTACATCCAATTTGTTCTCTTGCCCCCCTCCTTCCCTGGTTCCCTTCTAGAATTTACATTAGAAAATGAATAGCCAGTGTATCTCATTTGTTAGTGTTGGAGCCCCTGGCTGTTCTCTCATGTCGGCTCACCTAGGCATTCTCTTGGTTTTACTAACTCATGACCTTGTCATGGCTAGAGGAGGAGAAGGGAACTTTTCTCTGGGCCTGTTATTCCATCTGTGAAATAAGATGACTAACCCTCAACCATCCTACCTGATTTTGGCCTTGTCAGGAATTCAGAGGCAATGGCTTTTGAGCTCCTAAACAGAAAGGCACTTCAAAAACAGTGGGATATAGCAGTGTTGTATCTTCCATAGAGGTTAGCCGGGTGCAAAAGACTGGTAAAAATTGTAAAGGGTCAAAATTACCTTTGGAACTGTGGTAAATTGCTCAATAAGGAAGCACAGAAATCAAGGTGTTATGATAAGACTCTATACTAATATGGATGTGTCAATGTAAAATGTACACAGACTTTACGTGACCTATAGAATATTAGACAGCAATGTGCCAAATGTAATGGTATGCTGTTTTGAATTATATAAAGAGAGAGCACGTGTAGTTGGCTTTGCATGGTAAATACATGCTGGATTCTGTTCCTCTGTTAGAACTGAATTATTTTGCTTTCCTGTGAAAGAGTTTCTGTGAAAAGAAATTGTGTTTTAAGATTCAGAGAGTTTAGTTTCTCAACTATTTTATTAGAAGGGGAGCTCACCAATAAGGTTGTCCCACAGAAATAGTAGAGAAGCCACACAGAGCAAAACCCTAGCATCTTTTCATTGTAAATAGGATAAGAATAAAAATGCTCTTAACTGGCTCACAACAATGGACCCTCAGACAAGTGACCATTTCATACGATTTGTGGAGATCTTGAAGTCAACAATTATGTTTCGTCAGGGCCAGTTACCTGGAGAGAATGATACTGGCAGGAAGAGTAGTGAAAGCCAACATTTGCTGACTGCTTTCTGTGTTCCAGGTTCTATACTGAGCCCTTCATATATGCTATTTTCTTTGAGCTAGGTGCTATGACTGTTCCCGTTTCACTGATGGTGAAGCTGAGGCATGGAGATGTTAAGTACTGGTGACTGACCCAAGGTCACGCAGCTAGGGAGCACAGCACCCAGAATAGTACTGCTAGCAGTCTGATTGCAGAGCTCATGCTCTCTGCAATGGTCTGAATGTTTATGTCCTCCCCAAATTCATGTGTTGAAATCCTAACCCCTAAAGGTGATGTTGTTAGAAGGTGGGGCCTTGGGAGGTGGTCAGGTCATGGTGATAGAGCTCTCATGAATGGGATGAGTGTCCTTATAAAAGAGACGCACAGAGCTCATCAGCCCCTTTCACTATGTGAGGACGCTGGAGGTGCCAGCTGTAAACCAGAAAGATGGCCCTCACCAAAACATGACCATGCTGGACAATGCTGGTACCTTGACCTTGGACTTCCAGCCTCCAGAACTGTGAGAAATAAGTTTCTGTTGTGTATAAGCTACTCTGTCTGTGGTGTTTTGTTATAGCAGCTTGAATGGACGAAGATGCTCTCAGAAGGATGCACAAAATCAGGGCTTTCGTCTTGGTTCCTTTACTTCATACTTGGGAAAGCCACTTTCTCTCTCCACATCTCAGTTTCCCCACCTGTGAACTAAAGATAATGATGTCTGAATGGGACGTTGAGCACAGACCACGAAACAATGATCGGGAATTGTTGCACAACCCTACAGGGACGGAAGTTTGTGGGTTTGTGCTGAATTGTTGCACAACCCTATAGTGATGGAAGTTTGTGGGTTGGTGCTAATTTAGAGACGAAGAGGGGGCCCAGCCCTGTGGCCAAGTGGTTAAATTCAGTGTGCTCTACTTCAGCGGCCCAGGCTTGTGAGTTTGGATGCCAGGCGCAGACCTACACCACTCCTCAGCCATTCTGTTGTGGTGACCCACATATAAAGTGGAGGAAGACTGGCACAGATGTTAGCTCAGGGTGACTCTTCCTCGAGCAAAAGAAGAGGAAGATTGGCAACAGATGTTAGCTCAGGGCTAATCTTCCTCAGCAAAAACAAAAAACAAAAACTAAGATGGGGTGGACATTTGGACCACAGGCTTCCAGTGACAGCTGGTCAAGGAGATCAGTCAATACCTTCTTGTTCCCCTAAGCTCAGGCAATGCCCCTTTATCAGAGGCTGTAGGTCAGAGGTGTCTAGGGGGTAGGATGGACATATCCCTCTAATTCTAGAATTCTTCTTTTAATCAGGGTGGCTCTAAATTTTCTTCTACTCTTTGAAATCTTTAAGGGATGCCTCGACCTCTTATTCAGAAAGGGCTGAATCAGTAATGATTAAGGAAACGACCACTGAATCTGTTGACTTCAAAAAAGTGAGTCCCTGCCTAATAGACTCATTGCTCAGATACCTATTCATCTGCAATAAATTGCCTTAATAAATCCCGCTGAGCCTGGGAACTATGAGAACGAGGCAGAGTTAAGAATAGAGGACATTCTTCTCCAGGGAGACGAGACAATATGACATGCAGTGTCCTGGGATTGTTATAATGCACTCATTGAATGTCGCTGATGCTGGAAAGCTTATGAAAGAAAACAAGGCACTTTTCTATGTGGTAGGGAAATAGAAAAACAGCTCAGCTGGTGCATACCTCAAAGGCACATTCTGACACACAGTAAGGAGAGAAGAGGGGGCCCTGGGGTCTGGCTGTGATTAGTATCCGCCTAAATAGGTGTTCAGGGAGGGGATGCTGGAAGTTGAGCTGGACTTAGTTATGGTGGCCTTGTGTGATGATGTTTGGAGGAAACCACCAGGATTGTGGGGTCCAAAGGTCTGACTTGGAGTCCAGGCTCCTCCCCTTGGCTCTATGATTCTGATCTAATCTCTCAGTGCCTCAGTTTCTAAGCCCATCACTGAGCTGCTGGGGGCACAGATAAAATCTGTGACAGGAACTTATTAACTACAAGGAACTGCTTATAAGTGAAAAATAATCACGTATTTGATCAATGTTTATCAAGCACCTATTCTGTGCAAGATACTGTTCTTGACTCTTGGACTACAGCCCTGAACAAAGCCACACAGTCCTTTTTCTCATGGAATTTATATCCAGGGGGTGAAGACAGACAATAAGCAAATCATTGTATAATGTGAGAAAAGGGATATTTGAGCAGGGAAGTGGTAGCATCCAATCTGAGTTTCAGAAGGGTGGTACTTAAAGGATAAAATTGAAGAATAAACAAAATGCTTGCCTCCTAGTTTTATTTTAAAGGGTGTCTTGGAAGTCCCTGTTAATACTGTCTTTTTCAGTGCATCATGGTGTATAGGTATGTCATGTTGCAAAGGACTTAATCCCTAAAATTCCACACAAATGTGAATTTCATAGCAAATTTCAGGTGCAGTTTCGTATTCGGTTTAAAGTACTTCTTAGAGTGACATCAGCATCAGGACAGAGTAAGTTGCTCCCTTTGTCTCACACCTCTAAGTTACGACCAGTAGGGCATCCATAGACCAAGAAAGGATCCTCTGCACAACACACCAGAATGCCTGAGAGATCCGCACATCTGAAGGTGGGTGGACTGGACCTCGTGGAGGCAGTGGAACCAGGGGAGCATCAGTGGCCGCTCATGAGAACAGAGGCTTCTGGAACTGCAGTAACACCCATGAATGGAAGCCCCAGGAGCCAAGGCAGCCTATGTTCCCAGAGGATCCAGGAACCACTGACAACTGGAGGCTCCAGGAACTGTGACAGTGCCTGTGACTCAGCCCCCTCCACTTCTCCAGGCACCAGCACTTCAGACCCCAGCCCTCCCAGCAGTGGGGACTGCATTCTAGATCTTGGTGCCCCCAGCAACAGTGGTGGTGCTCATGACCTGAGGTTCCAGGAACTGTGGCAGTGCCTGCAATGCAGCTCCCTCCTCCCCCAGCAGCAGTAGCAGTGTCTGTGACCTGAGGCTCCATGAACTGCAGTGGTAACCAAGAACAGGGGCTCCACCAACTGCAGCAGTGCCAGAAAGCCGGGCACCCCTTCCCCTGTGGTAGTGGTGTCCACAACTCCAGACGATTCGGCTGTGGTGGTGATATCTGTGAACCCAGTGCCCCCAGCAGTGGTGGTGCCAGCACCCCTAGAAAACCCAGGAGCAGCAGCAGAGGTGGCACTTGCAGCAGTGGCCCCCCCTGGCCACAGCAACACCTGAGGCTTTGAGAAGCCCAATAACAGCAACAGCCAATCCCATGTCCCTGGTCCCTGCCAGCTGCAGTGGGATCTACAACTCCAGACCCCCTGCTCCCATGGCAGCAGCACGTGCAGGATTAACAAACCCAGATGTGGCGGAGGTGTCCATGACCCCAGCTCCTACCCACTATGGTTGGGTAACCTGAAAACCAGGTGATTCCAGAGGCAGCAGGGGTGCTTGCCAGCCCAGTGATGCTCAGGGCAATGCCCGTGACTGCAGCAACACCATAAGCAGCAAGGCACCAGCAATCTTGCAGACACAAGCAGCATAATGAGGGCACTCGCAATACTGCTGGGAGAGGCAGGGGAGGGGGGAAAGTGTAGGCTCTCAGATACAACTAGAAGCAGCTCAGAATCAAAGTAAATAAAGCTGTACCCAGATAAGAAAAGTGTTTGCTACTGCAAATGCACTGGCAGAGGAACAACCATCAAGTACCATAAAAAATTATGGTAACATGGTATCATAAAAAGAAACTGACAATTCTCCAGAAGCCAAACTTGAAGTCAGAAAGATTGCAGTCCAACTGATGGAGACTTCAAAATAGCTGTCATGAAGAAACTCAGTGAGCTACAAGAAAACTCTGAAAAGCAGCTCAGTGATCTCAGGAATACAATTAATGAACAGAAGGAGTTCTTCACCAAAGAAATTGAACCTTTAAAAAGAAAAAACAGACAGAAGTTCTGAAGCTGAAGAATTCAATAAATGAGATGAATAATAAATTAGAAAGCATTGGAAAATAGAGCAGATCATACAGAAGAGAGAATTAGTGAGCTCAAAGGTAGAAATCTAGAAATGATTCAGGTGGAAGAGGAGAGAGAATTAAGATTTGAAAAAAAATGGAGAAATTCTACATGAAATATTCAACTCAATTAGAAAAAGGAACATAAAGATAATGGGTATCCCAGAAGCAGAAGAGAGGGAAGAGGGAGCAGAGAGCTTATTTAAGAAATAATAGCTGAGAACTTTCCAAACCTGGAGAAGAAACTGGATATACAAGTACATGAGGCTAATAGAGCACCTAATTATCTCAATACAAAAAGACCTTCTCCAAGGCACATTATGTTACAACTGCCAAAAGTCGATGACAAAGAAAGAATATTAAAGGCAATCAGAGAGGAAAAAAACAATAACCTACATAGGAACCCCAATTAGGCTTTCAGCAGATTTCTCAACAGAAACTCTATAGCCCAGGAAAGAATGGAATGATACATTTAAAATATTGAAAGATAAAAATTGTCAGCCAAAAATACTCTATCCAGTAAAGTTATCCTTCTGGTATGAAAGAGAAATAAAGGCTTTCCTAGATAAACAAAAGCTGAGGGAGTTTATAGCCACTAGACCTACCTTACAAGAAATGTTGAAAAGAGCTCTCCTACCTGAAATGAAAAAGCAAAGTTGTACAAAGCTTAAGCAAGGTGATAAATAGACAGCTAGAATCAGGAAATTGCAACTCTATATCAGAATAGATTAGTAAACACTTAATTATAGCATAAGGTTAAAGAGAAAGCGAGCATTAAAAATAACTATAACCACTTCAATTAGGTAACAAACTCACAATACGAAAGGGGACAACAACAACATAGGAGGGAAAGAGGAAAAGGACAGAACCTGCATAAGAAAATGAAGATAAGATGCTATCAGCAGAAAAAGGACTGTCTCCTCTTTGATGATCTTTTGTAAAACCTCATGTAACCACAAAATAAACATTCAGAGCAGAGTCATGAAACATGAAAAAAAGGAAAATGAGAAATATATCACAGAAAACCACCAAATAGAAATGGCAGACAGAAACACAAGGAAAAAGAAACAGTGGAAATATACAGCAATCAGAAAACAAAAGATAAAATGACAGTATTAAGTCATGTATCAATAAACACCCTAAATGTAAATGAATTGACTTCTCATTCAAAAGATAAAAACTGGCTGGATAGATTAAAAAACAAGACCCGACAATATGCTTCCTCCAGGAGACCCATTTCAGCTCTAAAGACAAACATAGGCTCAAAGTGAAGGGATCGAGATGATACTGCAAGCAAATGGCAACCAGAAGAAAGCAGGTGTAGCCATATTTATATCAGACAAAATACACTTCAAGCCAAAAAAGATAACAAGAGATAAAAATGAACATTATATAAAGATAAAGGGGACAATTCATCAAGAAGACATAAAATTTATTAATATAGATAAACCTAACTTAGGAGCATCAAAGTATATAAAGTAACTATTAACATAGACAGCAACACAATTGTAGTAGGGGGCTTTAATACCCCAGTTACACAAATGGATAGATCATCGAGACAGAGAGTCAACAAGGAAACATTGGCCTTAAATAAAACACTAGACCAGGTGAATTTAATAAATGCATATAGAATATTTCATCCCAAAGTAGCAGAATATACTTTCTTCTCAAGTGAATGTTCTCAAAGATAGACCATATATTGGGAAATAAAACAAGTCTCAATAAATTTAAGAAGATTGAAATTATATCAAGCATCTTTTTCAAACACAATGATATGAGACTAGAAAACAACTACAAGAAGAAAGCTGGAAAAGCCACAAGTATGTGGAGATTAAATAACATGCTGCAGAACAACTATTGGATCAAAGAAGAGATCAAAGGAGAAATAAAAAAAT